TTTCAAAAAGATTTTGTTTACCTTTTTCCAGATCCGATAAATGGTGTAATTTATTCAATTTTAACATATGACATGACTTTCAAACCCAGCGACAAGTGTTGAGGTTCAAAGCGTTAAAGTTTGAAAATAACATCTACTTGATAAATGTTTGAAACTCCGCCGTGTTTGTCGGAGTGTGAAGTGCGAAGGCCCACACACATACATCTCCCAGCTTTTCCTTCATCTCCATCCAGTTAGCACACTGAGCTTGTCATCTCTTCCCGCAAGACACGGAATAATATTGTATTGAACTTGTGTTAATTTGTTCAGAGCTACCATGAAATTATATCTGCGTAAAAAAAAAGAAGATACGGATGCCTGATGATCGCTCAAATACGAGTGGAGGCACACAAGAGGAACAAAGAGGAGGCGTGAGGACGAGATCAAAACTGTGAAGAGAGACTTTTCAGGAAATACACAAGTGCTTCGCTGTAAATATCCACCTGCTGTCTCTGCTTATTGCTTAATTTGCAAACAATACAAATGTAATATTTGAACACAATCACACATTTACAGAGATGAGCCGTCACTGGAGCGATCTTATTACGTTAGCTGTCAAAATGTTAATCTCATTTTTCATTTCTTTATATTGTCTTGTTTAAAAAAAAGAAGAAGCTACAGTTGACCCCAAAAAAGCTCTTTTGTTGTAAATTGTACTGCAGGGAAAACTCATTTTCACTCCTCAAAAATTGACAACAAGAGACGCAAAGTCGATCAGCGCGAACCGGCGATGCTGCGACGGTCGTGTCGTCTCCATCACGCCATTTCATTTTCCTGCTGATTAGATGACATGTCCTTTTCTGCCTTTGTAAAGTCCTTTAGCGCTTTTTTTTTTTCACATTCTGCCCGTCCATCTCATTACAGAAGGAAAACTGCGGGAAAAGTTTCCTATTCCCAGAAGAAAAGGCCACACTTCACCAACCCTGCCAAGAAACCAATTGACAAACAAAAAATTACTCCTGAGGTTTGATTAATAATTAACTCCCTTAATTAAGTTTCTAGGTTAATTGGCAGCATAAAGGCTGGTGCAGTGCCAGGTAGTCACCCCTTGAGGATTTGGTTGTGCGATAGGAAGCTGTACGACTATAATGTGCGTTTGAAGGCTATCGAAGTGATCCGGATACTTATTGGGCTAAAAAAAAAAAAAAACCTTAATCGTATCGGATGGGATCTTCAATCTTAACTAAGTTGAGCTCTAATTTGATGATACATCTATCTGATTTCTTGGAGGGAAGCAGCGCGGTGTGAAAATGTGCGGCTAGTTGGCAACTGGATGCTATGTAGGTGATGCTGCCGTTACGTGACAGCAGTCGATGCTGAGCCTCCCCAGAGTGGCACTCCCAACGGCAGATCACTAAAACTGTGCCACTTGCTTACCTCTTCCAGCAGCACTCTTTCTTTCTCGCCACACACCTACATGTTGAATAATAATGCCCACACAGGCCTTGCGGTATTGATCGGTTGCCAGAGGACGCAAGGTCAAGTCGCACGGTGTCAATATTTAAAGCAGCACTCAGCACTGGGGACCTCTACCGTAACCTCATTAATATGGGGGTCTGCGCTGCTCAAATACTCTCCTGGCACGAAAAGAAAGGCCGACTTGAGGAGGGAAGCAGGGCTGCGTATCCACACGTACACATAGTAGTAGAAACACATGGGGAAATGAACAGATCTCAATCACACAAAGTCAGAGGAAGGCGTGCGAGGTGTGACAAAAAGGACATTGGTTGCTGATATGATGCAGCAGCCGCACAGTAATGAAGGACATCATAGTGTCGCCCAACACAACAACACTGTAGGAGAAAAGCAGCAATCCAATTGATCTATTGTCGTTTCTTTTTCCACAGCTCCAGCCGAGGGACCTCTGTCGAAGAATGAACCTTGAGCAAGACACTAACATCACATTCTTGGCTAGCTTGGGAAAAACTCCAGCAGAAACCTTCACCATCCTAAAGGACGAATGAAAATGTCCCGTACATGTGTCTATGAGCGGCAGAATTGGGTTGGATGTCATAGAGGATGACCCAAAATCAGGAAACCGCAACAAGAACTGATGCTAAAATCCACAAGGTCAAGGAACTGGTTCAGAATGACTGCAGACTGACGCAACTGGGATCGATTAGAGAGTCAGTCAGGACCATTTTAGTGGACGATTTGGGCATCTGGAAAATCTGCACAAAGAGCCTGCCTCCGAGGACCAAAAACCTGCCGTGTGGATGTGTCCCGGTACAGTTTGGTGCAGCTGGAGAGCAATGAGACCCACGAGACCTGGGTCTTCCAGTCCGACTCTGAAACCAAGCGCTCGAGCCTCCAGTGGAAGATACCGGCGCCACCCAGACCACAGAATATACCGAAGATAGTCTGCATGCCCAAATCATCCAATAACGTCCTGCTACACATGGCAGGTCTTTTGATCCTTGGAGGGCACCAGCTTCACACATATCTTCCAGATGCCCAGATTGTATAAGACAGTCCTGACCGACTCCCTATTCAGTCCCAGTTGCTCAGCCATCATTCTGATCGTCACACCAGTTCCTAGACCTTCTGGATGTTGACATCAGTTCCTGTTCCTCCCCATCGTCCCGCCTCATCTTGAACCTCTTGTTCCACTCAACTACACTGTTCCTGTACATATCCTTCAGCATGGACAGGATTTCTGCTGGAGTTTTTCCCCAAGATAAACAGAAATTTGATGTTCGTCCCTTGCTGGAGGTTCATTCGGTGACAGAGGGCACCTGGAAAAAGAAAGACCAATTGAAGCGTTGCCTTTAGTGTTGGGCAACACTATGATGTACTTCATGACTTCGTGGCCGTTGAATCGTGTGATCAGCAGCCAATGCCCCCGTGTCGCACCTCCTACGTGTTGCCCTTGGCCTCTGTCGTCTTAACTTTACTTTCTGTGATTACCTTTTGGCTTCCACACACTGACACATGCAGAACCTCGCTCAGCTTTGCGCCTCAGTAGTTGTTTAATCACCATCACTCCATCACTCAGCCAACAGCACAGTCGCAGCGGCCCCGAGGCTCCAGCAGACAGTGTTAATCTCAAGTACAGTCCATTCTGATCAATTGTTCCGGCATCCGTGTGTTGCTTCTGCCCTTCCTACCCCGCTGTTCCCGCTCTGGTCTTATCTGTCTCCAGAGGTTGTAAAGAGAAAGGTCCTCCATCAACAAGGCTGATGTTGCCGCTACGCTCGGCCTCTGTTGTTTCCACTCTCTCGCATGTGAACACAACAGTTCAGCTAAGATCAGCTGAGTGTGTGTCAGCAGGCTTCCTTTCAATCCTCCAGTGCTTCATTTACACCGGCGTCTTGCGCTCGGCACATGCACACACAGAAAACGCTCGGTGCAGACACACTGCTCCCCGAGATAAGAGCAATGTTTGCCACATGATTAGGATCTTCCAGTTACCATTAAAGACGGTTTATCTGCTGCCCCATCCCTCATTCACGCCTTTCACTTGTTCGCGGCCTCTCCAGAGAGAGTGATGGAGGTCACCGAGCCACGAGGGGAAAGGAGGGAGGCAGAGGCAATAAAAGGGAAAAAGCTAAATTGCAAACGCTATTTCTTTGTTTATTGGGCTACAGCATGATGGATAAACTGTACAACCAAGTTTGTTTGGAAATGTGCATGGCCCTACAGAGAGAGAGAACATTAACTACACTAGTGTTAAAAGAACAAAGAAGACGTTTGGCGCTCTGAATCTACATCGAATGGTTTAAGAAGTAGCGTCATGACACCATATGAGACACATGCTGCGATTGCTGCTTCTAAACGAGCTTAAACTAATTAAAGGTTGGGTTTGGATGTTTTCTTTTAACCTTTGGAGCCCCAAACCCTGCCAGTGGGTTTAAAATGTTTTTAAAAAATCACCAGAATTACATTATTTATCAGACACTGTACCCTGTAGAACAGAGAGAATCATTAGATTTTCAACTCATCCGTGGCTACCAAGCCATCTGGAAAATCAATCAGATCTAAAGCTGAAAATCATCGCATTTCATCAGAATCATCTTATTCTACACGTCTCATTTACAAATTCATCAAAAAATGAACCATTTGGACGAATCAGTTTCTATAAAAAAACGGAAAAATTCTGCTCTCCTTGGCACAACCGCGAAGCCGTCGCTTGTTAAGCTGCAACCAACAGTCGCATGGCAAAAAAATCACAGACTATTCAGCTGAACGGGGCTTAACTGCAGAGAGATTTAGGAGACAAGTGTGGAAACTAATCAAAAAATGCGAGTAGTTAAATATTGATAGTATGTAGAGGCACCATTTCCTTTCTCTAGTATTTTCAACACTTGTGGACACTCAAGGTTTTTTATATTTAGTTAATAATCAAAGAAATTCAACTGTCAGTTTCATTTTTTTTTGCGTGAATCATCGCCTTTTAACTGTCTCAAACTGCACAGAAGACCTTTTTTAGTTATTTCTACTTGTAGCAGTGGTTGTGCTGTTACCATACCGGTGCAGGACTTTATATTGCAGTAAAAAAATGAACCCACAGTGAGGAATAAACGTCCAGAAACGTGGCCACGATGAAGCCAGAATGCAGTGACTGTTGTCCTGCACTTTGGAAAGATTCTTCGTACATTTAGTTGAAACAGCTTCGTGCAAATTCCCTCAGAAATTTCTCATGAGAATGATTTTCTATATATTGCCTCAATTTAAAACAAATACGTTTATTGTGTTGGCAAATTCAGACTTCTGTCCCGTTTAATTTACCCCATTTATCACTTATCAGTCTGTAACACTTTCTTGTTTTTCCTAATCAAAGTAAATACACCTGCACTCACCTGTACTCCAGTGAAAAGCGCGTTAACTCCGTGCTGTTGTGGATCCATTTAAACTCCAGCGGCCAGCTTCCCTCCGCCATGCAGGTCAGCACCAGCCTGTTGCGTTCCAGGTGGAGCTGGCTACGAACTGGCTCTGTCTTGAAGTAGGGAGGCACGTCATCTGCAAAGAAAACAGTTTGGAATTAATCCTTTTGATAAGACTAAACCAGGCCTCAGTAGCATCTGGATGAAGAACACTGAAGGCAGACATGTGAAAATGTGGGAGTTTAAGAGACACAAGAGAGGGAAGCACATTTATTTGTCCTGAACTTTAATTCTGAAAAGGTTTGGCATACACGAGGCGCAAGCAGCTCTCCAACAACGTAAAAATCCTTTAAACTGGATGACGCGAACAGAGATGTAACCGTATGTGATGCACGCATCCATCAGACTGTATACGGTCAGACACTAAGATCTTATCTAAGACAAAGCAAATGCTGCTACCACTGGAAAGTAAACACCACGATGCCAGGCTCTAGATGGAAACCCTTTCTGAACATGTCCCATTTGGAGCTCCCTAATCTCATGTGATGCACTGCTGCCTGTGCGGGGTGATTGTGACTTGCGCTGGGAGTGTCAGAGATATCTGGCTAACAGGGAAGAGGAAGCAGAGGCATCAAGTCATGAAGGATTGGCCCTGCATCTTCCTGCTCTGTGTATTTGTGTCACTAACTCATTGGCACAGCGCAGCACTTTCCTCTGGGAAAGACAGAGCAGACAGGAGAGGAGCAAAGCCAAGGAGGAGGCATGAAATCCTTTCATCATTCGTTCGCCTCCACTCCGTTTCGCTCTGTCTTTCGCTCTCTCTGTGTTTCCCGAACACGCTCTGTTGAGTGTGAAGGAATGGATTGAGGAAGACCAGCGAGAACCTCTCCGCAGGGCGACGCTCGCATTGGATGTGGCAACAGACAGATTTTTTTTTATATCTCAATCAAAAAAAAGCCTCACAGACAAACTGCCAGGGACCCTCGCGGTTGTAATATCTCACCGTTAATGGATGATGCAAAAATGGGGGAGCTTACTTGATGATCATTGTAAATATAGAACACATTAATTGGATGGTTGGATAATATAATTATCAAATTGACTGATAATCAGGCATTGAAATTAAACTGTCAAAATGATGTATAGTGCTGATATTTGGTTCCTCTATTTCGGGTCGACAAATCCACTGGAGGTAGACTGATAAGAGTGAAAGGAATGGGGAGGAAAACAGGCGATGAAAGTGAAACGGAGTGAGAAACCTGAGATGATTTACAAGCTTTTCGCTTTCAATCACCGATTCAGATTCACCACGAGGCCTCCGGAGCTACACGCCTAATTTCCTGAGAACACTTCATTGTGCAACCCAGCCTCCAAAAAAAAATTACATACCATTACAAGCGAACTGCATTTACATTTTGAAAGGTGCATAATTTTGCTCAAATTCCCTCGCTGAAAGTTAAGACTGTGATGTAGTCGGAGAGGTTTCCAGTTTGAAGGAGTCATGTAGGGAGGCAGGAAACCGGGGTTTGGATCATGTGTCAAGTTTCATTTTAACCTTCTGTTTACTTTCTTATTTATTCAGGTAGGTTTAGACACCAAAACTATGTGGTTAAGTTTAGGATACATAAATAGACAAGCATGTTTTGGGTTAAAATCCGACCTTTTCCAAACTTTTATTGAGCTTCTTCTCTGTTTAGGATGAGTCCCAACATCTAATATATGATGGGAAGTAATTGGGGAGGCAGTTTCATTGTATAGAAACATCATTTTTGGGGTACAGGTTCGCTTTCTATGTACTAGTTAAACAAATACTAGGTGGAACAGGGCTAAACAAATAATCACATAGACATCGAAATCAGGATAAGACACAGTACACGATGCACTACGTATGACTGAGGAGTTAAAATGTTGAAGTTAGTAGTTTTACAAATTCATACCGTCCTCCTTGTGTAGCAGTCAAGCTTCCATCACCTGTACTGTACAATAATATGAAATGATTATTGAACTGAAGCTTGATTTAAAATATTATATCTTAGATCAAATCACAGTATTTGAATGAAAAACTGAAATTATGTGCTTGTTCAGTCCTAATATTATCAAACACAATGTTGTCACACATCCACAGCTTCTAGATGTTTTAATATGAAAATACTCAACTGGGACATTTTCATTGATGTGCTCTTTTTAGCAAAAATTCTGAAGAACATCTTAGCATATGCTAAATATAGGAGAAGTTGAATGTGTCTAAAAGCATTCGTCTTCTGTCTCCCCCTACTGGCAGTGAGAACAGTTACACTTTCGACACTTGCTTATTTCTTTATCTTTTCTTTCGACTGTCATCTTTCCTTCTTATCTGGTGCGTCAGAATCGTTCCCTGAACACCTCCTTGGTTCGGCCATATTTGAAGTTTTTGTAACTTCGGTAAACTGCGAACCACCGACAGTTCCTCTTGGTGTTCTATAAACTCACGTGGCTCGAGTGTAAAGCTCATATGAATCTGCAAAAGGATCGTAGTGGGACTTTTGTACCAGTTTAGCAATGGCAGATGTACCTAATGAACTCGCGACGACGTGCATCTCCAGAGAAGTTATGAAACAGCCAGATGACTAATGATGTTATTTCAGAAGGCCACAGAACAGGTCCAACCATTAAGTTTTATGTTGAAGTACTTCGGAACAATTTCTCAAATCTATAAGTGGAAATGCTGTCGCCTTCACTGAACAGAGATCCAAGGTGATTAATCACGGCACGCACAAAGATACATAATGAAGAAAATCAAGCGAAACCATGGGCAGATGAACAGTAGTCGTCTGCGGTTCAAATGTGCATAACAAATCCTCGAGAAGATGAATATTCATAAATTCCGGCACCTTCTTGATGCATATTTATAAACAGCTCTTTGGTTTGACTTCTGACTTTTGATAACCTGAGCGCGGCGCCAGCCTGTAGGCCGCATAAATAAATATTTATAGCAAACACGAGAAGACAGAGGAGACTCAATAAAATACCACACAGTATTGATCCATTAGATTCAACTCACATCACTACCTACTGTTTTCAAGTTCAAAATTGGGCCCCTTGCCATTCTGGCTGTGCTGTGTTCTGTTAAAATCTGATCCCTTAAGCTAGTCAAACATGAAGAAAAGCCTTCACACAGCAGAAGCATAAAAAAAAACCCCCCCCCTCAAAAAAACAAGCCAAAACATAGACACAGCTAATCGGAAAGTCACACTGTGAAGCCAAGACTCTGGCGGAGCAAAGAAAGTATACACAATGAACCCGAAGAAGAAGAAGAAGAAGAAGAAGAAGGAAAAAAAAAAAAAGAACACTTAGGTTAAGTGATGAAGAAAATATGAGTGAAAAATGATTTATGAGAGAGCAAGCATGGCAGGCAGAGGGCTTAACAGATGCAAAATAGAGATAAAATGTAAAATAGACTGAGCTGCCTTTAGAGTTAGAGTGCCTGGGCATCTCCCAAAGCAGTGTGGGTTAATGGCACACAAGAAGATAGTCTGAAAATGAGGGAAATTGAGACATGCAATAGTGATCGGAGATGGCCGAGACTAATTGTTCCCTGGCGATGCGCGCTTCGCTTTTATCTTTGACGGGGGAGATAAAAAGAGCACGAGGTGAGAGGCAGCCGGGGAGGGAGGGAGGAAGGGAGGCATATGCAAACAAGCGCAAATACTGTATCACCCACAGACAGATACCCGCTCAGCCACGGGGGGAGGCGCGAGGCCAAAGAACACATTGATCACTGATGAATATCTCCAGTAGTCCCTCTCATTAGGAAGTCCATGAGAGCTCGCCGCTGTTATCTCGCTGTGGAATCGGCACACGGTGGCAGAAAATACACTCCGGGGACACAACCGCTGGGGGCTGCGAGCGTTGATTATTTTTCATTAACCGTGTCCGATATTTTCCTCGTAATAAAATTATTCTATGAAAGTTAGAAAATGGTGAAAAACGGCTTCCCGCCACCACTAATA